TATATATACTGGTACCAAAATATGTATTGGTACAAATAAATCACCGCTCAATAAAAACCACATCAACAACAAAAACCATTCCCTAAAGAACTGTTACAACAGCATATCTGTGTAAGAGTTAAATTAAACGTACGTGTGTGGATAACATCAGTGTATGTATCAATATGATTCTTTCAGAAAAAAATTCATGATAATAAAAAGAACCCTCAAAAAAGCACAATCAGGAAGATTAACACAGAAGAAAAAGAACAAATATTCAACCTAAAATGAGAAAAATCCCTGATGAAAGAACAAAAAATTCAGAGTAAAAGCAAAAATCAAAGACAAAGGAAATCCAAGTTTCTTAAGCTGAAAAGATCTAAAGGGTTTACAATATATCCCAAGGAAAAGTAAGTCAAGGGCATCCACATCTACCTACATTGGATTTTTTAATTATAAAAATAAATAAACAAGCATTGCCAATGTACAGATGGCAAGAAGCAAAAACCAAGATCAAGGTGACCCTAAACTTTCTGTCTTCCACATGAAATGCCAAACTCTACAGAAAAAATTGTTTAAAATTTTACTGTCAAATGTCTTCAAAGTTTGGTGGTGATTTTCAACCTGGAATCCTACATCCTACCAAATCTTCTACCCTGTACAGGGTAAAATGCCATCTTCAGACATACAGGAGCACAAAAGCTTGTTTGTTTATTGAGACAGGGTCTTTGGTCTGTAATTCAGGCTGGCCTGAACTCACTACGTAGCCCAGGGTGGTCTCAAAATTGGGGCAATCCTCCTGCCTCAGCCTCTCAAATGCTGAGATTACAAGCACGCATCAACCTACCTGGCTCACAGAAGGTTTATTTATCATGTACATTTTCAGGAGTGTTCTTTTGAAGATTTTTCTAAAGACAGGAATTCAAAAAACAGGCCAAGAGGGCTGGGATGTAACTCAGTAGTAGAGTTCTTGTGTATTATGTGTGATGCCCTAGATTCAACCTTCAATAATAAAAGGAAAAAAAAAAAAACAAGACTGGAGACAGAACTTAACCATAAAATGGGGGAAACTCTTAAAATAACAACTTTGAAGGCTAAAAAATTCAAATTAGAAGACAGGGTGGTGGTGCACACCTGTAATCCCAGCACTGGGAGGCTGGGGCAGGGGGACTGATGTGAGTTCAAGGCCAGCCTGGGCTACAAAGTGAGTTCAAGGCCAACCTGAACGGCACACTGAAACCCTGTCTCAAAAGACAAAAAAAAAAAAGAAATTAAAATTAGAATAAGAATCCATTCTCCCTCTGGCCAGACCATTATCTTCAAGGAGAAGCCCCGAGTAAGAGTAATCATGACTACAGAGGAAAAAGTAAACAGCCTATTGCTGGACATGGGTGCTAGTCTCTTGGTCCTTCTTTTCAATCTTGGCCTTTCCTCCCACCGTCACACCTCAGTGGAATGAGTCACTGGTGAGGAGGTAACCCAGCTATTTTTCACAACCCTTAGGCTGTAACTACTTGTTAGATCTTTCTTGCATGTCTTTGTTTTCCTGAGAAACCACTTTGAAGATACTAACATGTATTACAGCAGCCATTGATAATTTCCTGCCAATCTGTCCATAACTCTGTAATGTTTCTATTGTTCCTATGCTATTTCATAAATAGATGTATGTTTATTACTATGTTTCCAACAACAACCATTGAGAATAGTCAATGATTATTTAACTGATCAGTCATGTATAGCTCTATTTGTCTTTCCTAGAAACCACTTTGAAGAAACCAAAGTATAGTACAACAACCATTGATAATTTCCTACCATTTCTGTCTGTAGCTCACTATTATTTGTCTATTTGTTTTCCTGAGAAACTATCTTGAAGATACCAATAGGTAAAATAACAACCATTGATAATGTCCTACCACTTTGTCTGTAATTCGGTAAATCCCCCTATTACTATGTTATTCTTCTTTTACGCTTTAAAAAAATAAAAAATAAAAAATAAAGAATAAGAATCCAAAGAGTTCTGCAGACAGGGTGGTGAACACCTGTAATCCTAGCAGTAGGAAGGCTAAAATAGGAGGACTGCGTGAGTTCAAGGCCAGCCTGAATTACAAAGAAAAGAAAGGGAAAAAAAACGAAACCAAGCAAGAAAATCCAGAGAGCTCCATGAATGTCTTCAGAAAGAAAATATATATGATGCGTACCAATTATAATGCATGAGATTTTAGCAATAGTGTCAAAGCATTTGCCTTTCTTTATCAAGAAACAGAAAGAGAAAAAGTGAAGAAGAGGTTTTTTGTGCTGGTGATGTACAATGGTAGAGCACTTGCCTGGCATGAGCCAAGCCCTGGGTTCAGTCCTGAGCACGGGAAAACGAAGTTTAAAAAATTAAGAAAAACAAAACTGCATACCATTTTAAGTAAAAGTTTCAAATATAAATCCTGTTACTAAATATATTATGGTTTGATATAGTCTACAGAATAATATGAAAAGAGTGTCCATTTGACATAATGGGCAAATAGTTTGCACTGAGCAGCACAGATTGAGTGATTTATAAAGCAACATTTCATTCTGTGGTTCCAAACACACTACTTGACTACATAATAAAAACACTGCATGCGGGAAGGGATCTGGCGGGGAGGGAGAAGGGAAGCAGGAAAGGTAAAAAGATAAAGATGTGTTATGTACAGGGACCAAGCCCTGGCAACGAATGTAATCACAACCTACACAAACACATGCTAATAAAAATTAGCCTCAAAAGAGTAAGGTAACAAGTTAACAGGAAAAACACCTAAGTATATGCATATAACCACAAGAAACAATTATGCTGGGTTTTTATGATCAATCTAAATAGCATGCAATTATTTTTACCAAATGTACTGTAAATATTTTAAAGCCCTCTGAGTATTGCATAATATGCAGGAGACAGGAGATAACTGGAAGGAACTGAATAAAAGGAAGGACCTGGAGTGCTGATTGTCCCCTCTGAGATAACTGGCAAACAACACTGTGACAGAGGTGTGGGAGCAGCAGGAGGATCAAGGTGAGAAAATGATTAAGTAGAAAATAAATCTAAAGCCAAGCATGGTGTAATCCCAGCACTGGGAGGCTGGGGCAGGGGGACCGTTGTGAGTTCGAGACCAACCTGGGCTACAAAATGAGCTCAAGGCCCATCTGAACTGCACAGTGAGACCTTGTCTCAAAAAGACAAAAAAAAAGAAAAAAAGAAAACAACAACAACAACAACAAAAAAACCCAATCCATTGTTAATTTTCCTAAAAATTGATAAAATTAAAGTCATATGCATAGTGAGAACTGGTTATAGGTAAAGGGGTACATGGGCAGGATAAACTAAGCTCCTCTTTCAAAGAAGAGGGAGAACGTGGATTTTGGAAAATTCAGGCAATAAGAAATAGGCACAGGAATGCAGTCCTGATGTTTTAAAGTGACGGCTTACCCCTAACTTCCGTTTCTTGAGGCTCACATCTTATTCTTATTACTGCTAGAATTTTTCCATACACATATATTACTTCAGACATCCTAATAATAATGTAACCCATTAAATGTTTTAAATCTTCTTGGAAAGACTTTCTTTACTTTATTGATATTGGTAGGATTACAAAATTACAGATATTTATACAATTCCAAGTTTTCAATCTAAACCTTAGAACTGGCTAATTTTAGCTGCAGCTCCTTGACTAATTATTTGATTATGAAAGTCTTTATTTTTCTTCTTCTTTTAAGCTCCATCAGTATGACACAAAACCAATCAATCAATTCAGTGTGAGAGGAAAAACACATTCAAATATATCTGGTTATACATCCTGATTGGCTACAGAGATTTTCATTAGTTTCAGTATCATATAATGTTGACTTAGATATTCAATAAAATGTGAATACTAGCCTCTCTCTTGAGGGCCCACATGCTATTTCTTTGAGTGAATTTTAAAATTCTGCCTAATAAATCTCTTTATGCCTCTTATTGAAGTACCCTGAAAATTATATTTTTTGCAACAGAAGTAGTGAAGCTGTAACCTGTCCCATGGTTGGGCTAAGTAAAGGTTCCCTACCTTGTTTTGGGGACCACCTCAAACCCTATCTGTGACATTTCCTTTGACCGGTCAGCACCAGGAAGTAAAGCGGCATGAGGGCAACGACTGTAAGTCCAGCCAGAGGGGCTGCATTTTTTTCTTTTCTTCCCCAACCCTTTCCATTATACCCTCTAAAACGTACATAGTTTATTCTCTCCCTCTGTGTCTGTCCCTCTCTCTGTCTCTGTCTGTCTCTGTCCCTGTCTCTCAGTCTCTGTCTCTCTGCCAACTCCTTCATGTTTTTCCTTTGCAGCAGCTGGAGGCCCCGAAGTTCCCAGAAAATGAGTGCCACATGTAAAACCATCACAGACATGACGCCTGCGCTCCCTCTAGCGTGTTTGTGAGCCAGATGGAACCAAAACTTGCCACTGGAGCAAGCTGGGTGAGGACGGACCAGCCAGGGTCTCGGACAGCTTTCTCTCGCCTCCCATGGGGGAACACTGATCCTGAGACACAGTGGCAAGCAGCAGCCTCCGGATGGCACCGGAGGAAGCTGCCTTGACAAACCATGCAGCTCTGGGGTCCAAGCACTAGGACAAAAGGAGCGCCTCCAAACTGCCCCCTGAATCCTCCTCCTCCCTCTTCTACTTACTCTCTGACTCAGGGCAGGGCATTGCCTTGGCTCACCCGATGCTGGGGCTTCCTCTGTGCTGGGACCCTCAGCTGTGCAGACTCAGTGGCCTGGGGTCAACAGCTGGCAGCTGACGCTGCCCTCGGACTGCATGGAGAAGCCTGCTGGTTTCTTTCCCTCCTCTCGTGTCCCTAACAACGCATCCCTTGTTGGCCTCACCCTGAGACTTTAATCTATCACGAATTCAAATCCTTTAACCTTCTGGGACATTAATGAGCAGGGAAGGCAGAGAGCAGGGTTGAGCAGAGGCCCTGACAGTCACTCCTCTGCCTGGCAGGCAGAGCAGGTGTCCGCCCATGTCCCACCTGTGTGTGGATCTGACCGAAGAGGAAGAGGAGAATAACTCGTGCCCAAGCCATTTGTTCGACAAAGGTCCAGGCACCCTGGTCTCTCCTCTCTGCCGGCAGCACCACAGGGGCGGGGTGTCTCTGTATGTCCACTGATACATCAGAAAAGACAGATGAATGAGACTCAGGGACCGGCGATCAGATCAGCCGGAGTCCAGAGGTTTCCCTCTCCTCCTCCCCAGCTGGCAGCTCCAAGCTGTGCTAAGGAAGGGGGAAAGGTCAAGAATTCTTCTTTTATACACACACACACACACACACACACACACACACACAGCCCAAGAAGTGCTCCATTTTAGCCAGTTGTTGCTGTCCACAACATATCTGCCACGACCTCCCTGGGTCCTGAGCCACCTTCTCCAGCCCTACAGCTTTTTACCACAGCCTTCTGGGTCTCACTGGGTCACCTCTCTGGTGTCAGCTCGCTTCCTCCCTGCACCTTGTTTGGCTTTAGTATTTTAATGGTAACTTTAACCTGAAGTTTATCTTTGTAACTAAAACTGTACCTGCTTTATAGATACTAAAGTGGTTATCTCCAAGCTAGTTTTGTTTGGTTTTTTTGAGACAGTATCTCACTGTGTAGTTCAGACTGGCCTTGAACTCCCTACCTGGAACTCTTGGCAATTCTCTCAGCAGTCTTCCTACCTCAGCCTCCTGAGTGCCGGGATTACAAGAGGGATTACACCATGTGGGCTCTATTTTTTTTAGCCATCCATAAGTTGACTTTTTGACTAAAACCCAGTTATTGTGTATGACTTCTTTATCTCTGCCTTTCTGATCCATTGTGGAAGATCCAAACAAGTTTTTTAATTCTTTCAAAAGCTCAATGCCTGCAAGTAGCAATACGCTAGGGGCAAGGACAGATGCCTGACTTTTCCCCGGCTGTAACAGCAGCAGGACTGGCCAGTGTTGCCTGACCCTGGGAAACATTTCTGCTGACTGGCAGGGATGCCTGGACCAGTCCTGACAAGAAGGTGGGGCGGTGTCAGCATGACCCAGGGAGAGTTGAAGTGGGCTACTCAGGTAACCCGACTGGTCACAAGGGAAGTTTAGGCAGGGTCCTTGTTAGTCTGATGAAGACGTTGAAAGGATCCTGCCTCCTCTTCGTCTCTTTTCAAAGTACTCAAAGGAGATCTTAGGTACTCTTTTCAAAGTACTCAAAGGAGACTATAGGTAACTCAGTGTCTGATCTCAAAACGTCACTTTCAGGTTGCACTTTACAAAATTGGGAACATTTTAAAACGGAGGGTCAAAAAAGTTGATTTTTCTGTGTTTTTCTAAATATAAGTTCAGAGAATAAAAAGACACGGCCTTAAACTTGGTTTTGTAACAAGGAGGAAAAGTGAGCAGAGTCCCCGTGCAGCAGTCTGTAACTCTCCTCCTGACTCTTCTTGGTCTAACTCTGGTCTTAACCAACAACATAAACAAGAGTATTCGAGCAGCTGGGAATATAAGAGAAAATACCATTACGATTTAAATAAATACAAGAAGCACTGAATGATAGCACCTGGAGAAAGTTCTGACTAGACTGCTTACAGTTATAAACATAAAACAAAACTTCTAATTTTATGTGACTAACGCTGACCGTGACTAAGGGAAAAGGTGGCTGTTCTCGGGTAGTATTTGTATTTCAGAGTCCCCTACAGCCAGGCAGGACTATAATCTGGATTCACACCTACTGCTCTCACTTCAAAGCTGGTGTAACTGACCCTCTGTGTGTTCAACTACAGGCCCAGACACCAAAGGTGAGGAAGGTAATGGGGCTAAGAGGACAGCCAACATTTTGACTCTTTCCCTCACAGCTGCAGCGAGTCACTTTCATCCTGAGAGGATGGCTGAGGGACCCCAGGGGACAGCATCAGCCCGTGTGTGGTGCTGTCAAGAGCATCAAGAAAGAGGGAACTTTCCTCCCACACTAGGCTACGGCCCACCCTGGCAGAAGACTTGACTGGTAGAGGAAAATCCAGAGGAGCTAAGAGGCTCCTCACATGGCCCCAAGTCACCCAAAGAGCCTTAACAATCTTGACAAATGTAAACAGATTAATTTTGACAAACACAAGTCTTTCTTTGACTTGGTCTTAAATACTCAGCATAAAGTAGAATGAAAAAAGTAATTAAAAAAAAACAGAACAAGCTAGATATAGGGAAGAGCTGTAAATGCAGTAGAGCCTCAGTTCATGAACTTAATTTGTTCCATGATTCTGGAGAAAATGGCCATGTTCCCCTTCATGAAGGGAAGATAGCCATGGTATGTTTGTGATCCGATTTGGAGTTCTTAATGGAAGCAAATTTTGCTGAACGCTTCAATTTGTGAACTAAATTTTTCATGAACAAAAGTGTTTGTGCCTAAAACACTTTAGCCTACAGCCATGAGAAATCATGAATCCCAGTTCCACTAACTTCCAAAAATGTGTCCTTCAGGATGGGTATGGTGGTATAAGCTAATCCCAGCACTTCTGAGGCTGAGGCAGGAGGATTGCCACAAGTTCATGGCCAGTGTGAGCTACATAGCAAGTTCAAGACTAGCTGTATATAGCAAGAAACTATCTAAAAAAGAAAAAAAAAAAATGTGTCTTTTGGCCTCTCTTAGTGTATTGCCACTATGTTATTTTAAAGTATTTCAAGTACCTGAAGGTAAAGATTTGGCTTCTTTCCAGGTGTGCCTGCAGGATAAAAGTGCCAGTATAAACATTCCAGCTATAAGGTTTGTCACCTCGGGGACATGAGCTCGGCTTCTGCTCCCTACTTCAGACTTTGTGTCTGTATGGTCCAGGCCTAGTGCTCTCGAAGGCCTCAATTCTACAAAACAGAAGCCGCATCACAGGTGTGGAGCCCTACCCTCTGGTGATAATGTCAACGGCCAATGGCCACAGAAAAGGAGATGTTTTCATGTAGTGTATTCCTCGGCCACTGTTGTAATTACAGTAGAGGACACTAGATATCTTACTGGCGAACAGGGAGGAGTCTGTATCCTCTCCAACTCCACTGATGCCCGAGGGTTAACAGTGCTGGACAAGTAAAGGTTAACACTGAAGATAGAAGGCTTACGTCACAAGCCAGCTAACTGCGTCTGACATCTACAACTTTCTAGAGCTACCAATAACCAATATTCTACTTTTAATTTTTGGACCTTGTTTGTTTAACATGGTTGTAAAGTAAGGCTTAAAGGTCACTTACTTGCTAACATTCTTGTCCTCTGGCCCGGACTATCAAAGGATAGGGGCTCGGCAACAATAAAGACCTAGCTTTCTCTGCCCTCTTTAGATCAGTCACAGGGAGACTGCTGCTCCCTGATGGGAGCATCCATGCCCACTCCCAGCAGTTATAAGATGAACCTTTGGCCCTTGTGTATCCCTGAAGAATAATGGTCTAAAATCTCAAGGGGAAAATGAGGTAGGATAGGAGAAATAAATGTAAAAGAGACAAGGAGAACCACAACTTTAAAATGGTACATTTAAGACTGCAACTTCAGGACACAATCAAAGTTACCTGAAGTTATCTATGTCTATATGCTTTGTTTCTTGTAGGCCTATCACACTCAAAATCCCTTAAAGATACTTTAGGTCCACATGTTAGCTTAGTTGATAAAGGGCAGAAACCTGACCTTAAAACAATCAGGTTCAAATGTTTCAAAGAATATTTGTAGGCAAAACATCTTAGATCACCTACCTTAAAAAATACACACACACACACACACACACACACACACACACACACACACACACACACAGGGCCCAGGCCTTTTTCCTGTAAAATGGGTGACTTTGCACTTGTAAAATAACCATTACCTTTTGACCTGTGGGTGGGCCGTTGCTTTTCTCCTATAAACCAAATCCAAACATTCTGTATATTCACAAATTCTACAGATTTCTACTGCCAAAAACACACAAATATTTCCAGCTCCAGAATATAGTGTACCTCTCTATTGAGGGTCTGCACTCTATTTCTTCGAGTATGTGCTTTTAAAATTCTGCCTAATAAATCCCTTTATGCCTCTTAATAAAAATAACAACAGAAAACGTACATACTGGGAGTTCTTTCCTTACCTGAGTTGCTGTGATAATAAATCACATATTGAACAATAAAACACTCTAAAAGACAGCTGTTATATACATGAGGTTTATTATTATTATTCTCCTTTATAACCTGCCTTGAAAGAATGAAAACTGATAAACAGCCTCTCGCGGTGGTACACACCTGTAATTCTGGCAGCAATGCTGAAGCAGAAAAAGTTGAAGACCAACCTGAACTACATAGTGAGAATCTGTCTCAAAAAGGAAAATAGATAAATTTTATCTCCACTTCCTAACTTGGGCAAATGTCTCAATATCTTTGAGTATCACAGTGTCTTAATTAATAAAATAAGGCTGACAAAATAACATCTCCTGGCCAGGCATGGTGGCGCACACCTGTAATCCCAGCACTCGGGAGGCTGAGGCAGGAGGATCGTTGTGAGTTGAGACCAGCTTGGGCTACAAAGTGAGCTCAAGGCCAGCCTGAACTGCACAGCGAGACCCTGTCTCAAAAAGACAAAAAAGGGGCTGGGGATTTAGCTCAGTGGCAAAAGCGCCTGCCTGGCAAGCGCAAGGTCGTGAGTTCGGTCCCCGGTACCGGAGAAAAAACCAAAAAAAAATCTCCTGAACCAGTTTGTTAGATAATAAATGTCTCTGAGCTTTGTCAGTTGATTTGAAATGGAAGGAATGCTCATAGATAATTATGACAAGGAGGATAAAGTCTCCAGCAGGAAACAGAAAAAGACTTTCTGGGTATCTTAGGACAGCTTCTCTCACAGGTTGCTTTAAAAAGGGGTTGTGGTTGAAACAGCTGGCCCTTCAGAGGAACAAAAGAGCACACTTCCTTCTCACAGACTTCTCAGCACTGCCCTGCTCCTCCTCACAAACCCACTGCTCCTGCCAGAAAACCACCTGTTTTACCTGTTTCCAGAGACTGCTCCAACCAGAGATGACTCTTTCCTGACTTCTCTGCACACTGGGCACCGCCTGCCGGCCCACGAACCCCTATGCTTCTGTTCATGGGTGGCCC